ATTAAGGCCTGGATTCCCCAGCACAGCTTGTCTGTGTGTCCACAGCCAGGATCTAGAGGATGCGACTTTTTAAGCTCAGTGCCACAGCTCACCCACAGGTGGACAGGACTTGACTGTGGGTTTGATTTGGCCAGTTCCTTTGGGTTTTGTGTGTTTGTGGTTCCAGCAGGTGAGGCTGTGTCTCCAGTATCCTCTTCCCTTGTGCCCTACCCTGGCGATGTGCCTTTTTGAGGTCATTTGCGTGGACGCTGCCTGCCATAAATGTCCCATTTTCTGTTTCTCCCACCTGGGCCCGCCTGGCCTGTGAGCCCTTCTCAGCCGCTGGCTCCTGCCATCCGTCCAGCTCAGAACCAAGGTCTGGCATGCCTTGTTCCTTCTGTGGCACCTGCCTTCACGGCCTGCAGTGCGGCCTGTGCATGGCAGAGACCACACTCTCAGACCACCAGCGGCCTCCTGTGACTTGAGCCGCCTGACGCCTTTCTCACTGTGACTCTGTCTTCCCAATGCCCTTGGACTGCTGCAGGGCCACCCGCTCCAGGGTCTGCTGTGGGACAGCCCTTCCCTTCCAGGGAACTTCCACTGGCATTCTCCCGCTACTACCTGGTTCTTTGCTATTGCATCCCCCGACGTCCTCCCCAGACTCCACCCACCGCTCAGCTGCCTGCTCCGTGCAGGTGACCCCCACCCTCCCAGCACATGGTGGGTGCTGCAGTGAGGAGCTGTCTGGACACGGGCCAGTCTCGTAGGTTAGCAGCTCAGGCTCCTTGGCTCAGTTCTAGAAGCTCCCAGGTTTTGTTGGGTGTTTTGGTTTTCAAAGTTATTTTCATGTATAAAGTCATACTGTGTGAACTAACCAGGAGCAGATGAAACAAGCCCTCTGTTGTCATCTGTCTTCCCAGTTGAGGATGGACATTCATATGTGTTCAGGTGATGGGAAGGGTTTTTCTCTGCAGGGCCCGGCTAGGGTCAGGGGGCACTGTGTGGGCAGGGCCCGCGGAGCTCCTCCCCTGGCAGTGCCTGGCTAACAGCAGAGTCTTTCCCTCAGGTCTTGGTCTCCAACTGTGTGCCTGATGCCCCATTCCTGTGCCCACATGGCTTTTTCAGAACAAACCACCGGCTGGGTGGCTTTGAGCCCCAGTTAGTGAAGCCTTCGAGAATCTCAGCCGCATCTTCATGGCAGACACTTCGTGGAGGCTGCTTTGAGAGCGAAGCTTATGCGTTCTGTTTAACAGATGACCTCTCAAGAGTCTCTTTCTCAGTTGAAAGGGGAGCATTTCACCAAAAACAACTCTCCGGCCCAGAGAGTGATCTGAGGTTTCTCCTGCCTCCTGCACATCAGAGCTCCTCTGCTCTGCTCGCCCTGCTTGTCTAAACCTAACTGTGTTTTCTCAGGTAGTGCCCCAGCTCTTCCTTTTACCATCATCCTGCCCCTGGGATTCTGTCTCGTGCCTTTTCCCACCTTGTTCTGTGATCTGCTGGCACCGTGCCCGTCGCCTGCAGACCCCTTTCCATGTGTGATGTCCTGTCCCAGTGCTCCGTGCAGAGGCTCCTGTCTTGTTTTTTCACCTGCTCAGCCTAAAGGGCTTTCTTCTGGCCCAGCCACACAGGAGGGACCTTGGCCTTGCGGAGAATGGTGTGAGGCTGCATTATTGTGGGGCTGGGGAGTAGACCATCCTGAGGACTTGACCCTTGGTGGCCCAGCAGGGCGCTCCCAGCTGCCCTGGAATTTGACAGCAAGTCAAATCATGAGCACCCCAGGTTTTGTTTTAAACCACAGTATAAACATGTTTAACTGGTTTCCTATGTTTTTCTGCTTTTCTGCTTAAATGATAAATTTCTTGAGGAAAGAGACCAAATCTTCATGAGCTACAACTACATATGGAGTTTTCATGCCTAACATCTCAGTGCTCTCTGTGTGCCAGGTCATGCTGAACCATTTTTACGCCTTATCTTCTTTAATCCCCACCAGAACCCCTTAATTAGATCGATTCTGTCCAATAGGCAGGCTGTCTCTCCTTTTAATAGATACAGAAAAGTAGCTTAAATCTTAGAGCTCCTAAATTCACTCGCGCAGCGGCGCTAGCTGGGCCAGGGTGTGGGATGTGGACTTCCCCACCAGCTTGTGCTCCCTGGGGGAGTGTGGGGGGCGGCGTGGGGGGGGTCGCCATTATATTTTTGTTGTTTCTTTAATATAACTTACTTATTTAACGTAATTTTCTGTAAGTATTTTTATACATGCAATGGAATAAGTGGAAAACAGTTAACCTTTTAGTGGCTGGCGTTGGGAATTCTACTAGAATTTTGCTAACATCAGTTTGTCTTTTTTTTTTTTTCCCTAGAGGAAAGAACACGTCTTACAGGATGGAAGAGAAGTGATTTTGTGCTAGAAAAATCAAAACTAAAAGTGTGCAGCTAGGTAATTTTGAGTGTTATTTCTCTTCCCACTTGCTCTCTGTTTGTATTTTTGTTTTTAATTCTTGAGACTGTGAGGACTTGGTTGACTTCTCTGCCCTTAAAGCAAATATTAGTGAAATTGGCTCCATCAGAGATGACCCTCGAGTTCTTGGTGTAGAAATTATGTGAATAAAGTTGCTCAGTTAGAATTCTTAGGGTTCTCTTTGATAGGCCTGTTTTTCTAATGTGTGCGTTTTTGGGGGGTTTTGTTTGTTTGTTTTTGAGACAGTCTCTCTGTCGCCCAGGCTGCAGTGCAGTGGCGCGATCTCAGCTCACTGCAACCTCCGCCGCCTCGGTTCAAGCGATTCTTCTGTGTCAGCCTCCCAAGTAGCTGGAATTACAGGCGCACACCACCACGCCTGGCTAATTTTTGTAGTTTCAGTAGAGACATAGTTTCACCATATTGGCCAGGCTGGTCTTGAACTCCTGGCCTCGTGATCCACCTGCCTCAGCCTCCCAAAGTGCTGGGATTATAGGTGTGAGCCACTGCGCCCAGCCATGTGTTCTTTTTTAAATTTAGATATGTCCAGAGAATTTCCTGTTTCCCATGTCATTTGAGAGTATTGTTTGCTTGTGCGACGTAAGTTTGAGCTCTGCATGCAATGACCCTTGAGGAAAAATTAACAGTCCTGGTGGTCCCAGACACTCCTGCAGCCACAGCACTTGTGACTCCTCACGATTCTTATTGAAGCTGTTGATGACAGGATATCATGGTGACGTTTTTGTAGTGAAATAGTTCACATATTCAGAATACACTGGTGAAACTCATGCTGGCGTAAATAGTTAATATGTTGCCATATGAGTTTGGGGTTGCTTTTTTATGAAAGATTAAAAATGAGATTGAGGTACACATTTTTCATTCCTGCCTGCCTCCCCAGGTGATTACTCTCCTGATGTCCGATATCACCTCCCTACCCCACCCCATATCCCTTCCCCCCTACGTCTTACCCTGGGACCACGTTATGTGCGTGTATATGCGCGTGTGCACGCGCGCACGCCTGCGTCCTCAGGCTGCTGTAACAAAATGCTGGAGACCAGGTGGCTTCAACAGTAGAAATTTATTTTCTCACAGTTTTTGGAGACTAGAAGTTTAAGACAAGGGAGCCAGCATAGTTGGGCTCCGGTGAGGACTCTTCGTGGCTTGCAGAAAGCTGTCTTCCTGCTGTGTCCCCACGTGCTGGAGAGAGCAAGGTCTCTGGTGTCTTAGGAGGGCACTAATCCCATCATAAGGGCCCCTCACTCAGGACCTCATCTAAACCTAATCACCTGCAGAAAGCACCATCTCCAATACTACCATCATGCCAGGGGCTAGGGCTTAATCATATGAACCTGAGGGACCCAGTTCAGCCCACAGCCTGTGAGTCAGTAAGGAGGGTGCACGCTGTTGAGAGCTGAGAACCGGGCCAGGTGCTGCAGACCTCACAGACGGCTCATTTCCTCAAAGAACAGGCCGGCAGTGTAATGCTGGCTCAGGCTGGGCCAGGGCCAGAATGGCCCCTATAGATCTAGAGCCTTCCCTCAGGCCTGCTGCTTCCTAAGGACAATATGACCCATCCTTTCCTCTTCAG